GATATCAAAAAAGTACTCCAGAGTGTTGTTCAGCATGGGGGTGAGTAGAAAATGAAGGCTAATCATGTTTTGGGTGTACTATTCCTTTAAATCAGACCCTTCCTCCTCATCCTATGGTGTTTAGGAGCCAAGCACTCCCACAATCCATTGCATGAGCACACATATAGCTAAAACACACCTCACATCACTCTTTCATGGCACATGCTAATGTGCACACCTTCAGGTGTTTTGCATTTTAAAATGAAGAGCTTAAGCTGTTTGCTGTATTTCTGTCTTGTACTTTTTGTAGTTTCTTTTCCAAATCCTGTCCTGCAACAATGATTAAATCATAGCATAATGAGGTATGAAAACAGAAAGATTCATCACAGAAGTCTGGAGCTTCTTTGATACCCACTATAGAGATGTTACTGTTGACCTCATGAAATGTGAAGGAACAGGAAGGGGCTACAGATGGTTACAAATGCTCCCCCTGGGGTGTCTCTGGCTTGGATAACTGTTATTCTTGTTTATTTTATGCGGATAACTCTAGATTTGGTGAACTTAAATACTTTGAATAGCTTTGTGTTGGATGGGAAGCTCTGTAGGGGGTCTCTGCTGTTTATTTTAACAGTTTGTTTATTGTGTTAGGGCCAAGTAGAAACCTTAGGATATGTAAATTTAATGTTGTTAGATAACAGTTGTTTTGACTCCTTGTCACAAGGTGATATTTTGCTCTTTTAGCTACACTCATCTGTTTGAATCTTACTTTAAATCTTATATTTGAACCAAATGAAATAGGCTTTTTATTTTCTGTTACACCCCGACTGGGTCCTATGTCAATGCCGAGGAAAAGCATCCCTACAGATTAATCCTGGATCACCATGGCGATGGTGTTTTCATTGTACTATGCATTTCCCCCACATAATTCTTTGCACAAAGGTCAAAAAGTTTCATCTGACCTAAAGAACTTCCTGCATGTTTCCTTCTCGGTCTCTCACACAGTGTCTTGTAAATCATGAACAGGAAGCCTCCAAACTTTGTTTATGTATTCCTTTCAATCCTTTTTATCACTCAAGTTGTTACTGCAAGGCTTTCAGCTTCTTTCCTAATAAACATCTCCCTTGCCTGCCTTGTTATTATTAGACAACTGGAGGGTTTCCAGTTGTGTTAAACTATTTTCACTCCGTTTAAAGCTTAATATTTTTACTTTCCCCCCTTAAGTGTCTGTTGTGCTCCTCGATCTTTATTTTGCTCTTTTTTTCTGACAAACATTTTTCTGTCCAGTTTCCTTCACACAGCAGGAGTATTTACTGTTATGTATAATATTATGCACAAATGGATTAACTATTTTTTTATTTAGCTGTAGAAAAGCAAAGGAGGCTGAAAACATTAACCCACCCCAGCTCAGTATGTAGGGAGCGTGTTTGTGTTTTTTTTTATTCCACTTCACGGTTTTAGTCATTCTGTTTGCATTTCACATACATAGAAGTTTTTGGTTTCGACGTGGGGAAGTTCAAAGGGTGGGAATCCTTTGCGAGACAAAAGAACTTCTTACCAGAAGACTCTCAAACTTTTTTGCCTCAGTGATGTGGATCCAGTTGTCTTTTTCGACAACTTTGATGTGTTTTACTTCATCGTTGAACCTGTACAGAAAAAAAAAGGGTGTGAAGTTGGTTTCATTTGGATAAAAAAGTCAATTTTATAATGTCTAAGATATTTTTTCAGATTGATGCATCTGTAAAGATAGAGTACTAAACTAAATGAAGTCTTTTCTAAAAGGTAAAGATGGCTGTCAGATCTATTCAATTAGGAAACTGATGAGAGGTTTGTTCCTGTAGTCCTTTTGCACCTGTGTTTAAAGGCTTGGAAGAAAATTTGCAGGAACAATCCTAATTTATCATGATGCGACAGCTCCAGCAAGAGGTCAGACGTTTGTGTGGAGCAGCGTCACCAAAGTGAGTAAAAAAAATACAGAATAAAAGCATTAATGAAAATTAGCAGAAGATGTGCAGAAACTGTCCAGAGCTTTCCTGTGGCAGTTCTTATATTCAGCTCAAATGTGTGTGGAAGGCTTACTTGATGCTGATGGCGAACCTCTCTGCCTCCGCCGTCCTCTCCCTGATCAGGTATGTCCCGCTGCAGTGGGATTTTAAAAGGTTGTCTGCCTGCTGGCGCTCCATGTTACCTGCAAACCTAAGACAGAAGCAAGGAGTTCCATTACAGAAAAACATTTTAAGTAGAAAACAGTGGATTTTTACCACTAAAACCTGCTGCTGTAAAGAGACTGAGCTCCTACAGAATTGATGTCAAAATCCAGAATCTAATTTGCAGACTTGCTTGTGCTTGTTGCCCATCTTTGAAGAATAAACTCCAACATTCATCTAGAGTTTTATCTAATTTATTTCTGCAAAGCTCAGGATCTAGTAACTGAACCTGAAACAATAACAGAGGTTGGTTGGAGGGAAGAGCGGAGGCTTGGATGCATTAATAAATGAAAAAATGGAGAGTTTGTTTAACAGACTGGGAGTTAAACACATTTTATTCGAATTACATGGTTTAAATAGTCCTCTTAGCCCTTCTATTTGTACCAATTTTTTCCAGATTGTATAGGACCTCTGATCATAGAGCAGTAACCTCAGGGTATCAGCGTCCCTGAATTAATATGACCTGGCCCTTTAAATCCACAATGCTACAATGCAAGAGTTACATACCAAGGATATCCATAGTAGTCTGCTTCTCTTGATGACTGCCGGCTGGATAATGACTGGAAAGGCTGTTACGAATAAATGAAGAAATGCATTATGGAGAGAAACAAATCAGGCCTTTAAATCATTTCTCAAACAGATAATGTCTACTCAGAGATCGTAGCTGAACTTAGATTTGTGACAGTTAGAGGAAAAAAAATAGAAATAGCAGCTTTTTCTCAATTTTTTTCCTTGTTTTTATCCATTTTCTCTCCTACTGTCCTGCTGAGATTTGGACCGATTCATTAGCAGAAGTGCTCCATGCAGAACCCACCCACATCTGCAGAGCTCAGCACATAGTAAGCTTTACATTTTGACTGGCTGAACCACAAGCTTTCAGTTTTTAGTCAAGCTTAAATGGAGGATTTGCTTTTTAATCAGTAACCCTTTAAAGATAGGAGAACTCTGTATGTCCATGACAGCTACAGCCTACCCACCAAAGGAAATAATGGCAAAAGCATAGATGGTCCATTGTGTGCTAGGTTCAGAATTCACAAAGTATAGATAAATGTCATGAATGAATGAAATAATGCACTACATTCAGATCCAGCCACTGTCACATAATGCAACATGATTAAAGAGTAAGAGCAGAGGCTGCACATTTATCATCTACATACGAATAGGAACATTTATTTAATTTTATTTAGGCAGAGAAAGCAAAGGAAAAAGATGAAAATGCATAACATTTAGTGTGCTTTTTATTCAGCTGCTCCCAATTAACCTTCACTTCAATTTCTGCCCCTTTTTCTGACCAGCACCTTTTTTCACCCAGCGAGCCCATTTTATACATCTCTACCAGTTTAAAACATCTGGAAACTAAAGTTTTTGCGTATTGTTCATTGCGTCAGTTTACACAGAAAGGGTCTGTGAACATCTGAAAAATACTTATGCTTTGATCCAAACCATTTAATCGTAGCTTTGGCTTCATGGTTAGGTTTGTTCTGCTGGAAGGTAAGTCTCTGTCGATCTCATTTTTATTTATTCTTGCTGCCAACAGGATTGTTTTTCCTTCAGAATTTTGCAATATTAACTTATTCATTTTCAAGTCAGCATTTCCAAAACACTTTGCTTCCATAATCATGTATCAGGTTAGGGTGGTTTTAAAAAAAAATTATGTGCAGGTTTAGTTTTCTGCACAAACAAGCTTATGTTCAGGAAGGCAAATGACTTTGGTAGATTTTAGGGCTATCAAATTAAACACACCTTGCTTTTAGCTTTCTCTGTTAAAAAAGATTAGTAAACCTCCAATTTTCTTTACACTTTCCAATCATGCAGCAATTTTATCATGTATTTTTAGTTTTAGTTTATATTACGTAAAATCTCAATTAAATATTAAAAAGTAAAAAACGGGCGGGGTAAACTCATTTATGTTGCATATCTCACACAGACAGTAAAACAGTCACTTTAAAACCTACCTTTGGGTCTAAGTACGGTTTTACACACGAACTGGGAAAGAAGCCACTCTTTTGTGCTTGCATCAGCTTCCCCTGCAAGATACAAGGTTCATTATTGTAGTACAATCTGAGCTCTTCAGAGTAATGCGTTGATACATGATGGAATAAAATGTAAAAATAAAAAATGCATTGTGCACCGTTTGTGTCAGAGATTAGCTCTTCAGCTCAATCATGAATATTACAGAAATAAGCACCAAGACTGGGAGTATTATTCTAGATTTTTAAAGGGTTTCTCTTGAGACTCTTAAGTTTGAATTTCTTCTGTATTTTTAACCAGTTCATATGTATCAGTGCAGCTAAATCTTAATGCAGGTCAATGGGAGGAATCAATCCAGTTCCATAAAGACTATATTGTATATCTAAACTGATATCTATACACTATGTAGATATATAATCAAACTATAGCAGTCTTTAAGGATTTCATAAAGCCTCTAAGTGCAGCTTTACTAAGTGAATCTTTGCTGCCCCCTAGTGTTAACATCATCGGAAACAGCTGGCAACAGGTTTTAACAATGTAAAAGCTTTCACCCAGAATGCTTTTCTTCCATGATAAAATAACCTGAAAGTAAGCTAATAAACCAGTTTGAAAGATGCAATATTCACTTGGCTCTGAATACGTATAACATCCACTACATCAGATTGGAATCTGCTGTGAGATGATGCACTTACTACAAAGGGAACACATTTATCAAGATTAGTCATCAGTGTCAGACAAAAGCTAGAGTGCCTTCACTGTGCCCTGCCCTGAGCAATCGATGCTGAGCTGCAGCAGCCCTCTGACATCGAACAGAGAGATTAAAACCAATTCTGTCGAGGGGTAACCAACTTTAATAGCCAAGATAAATTCACGGCATCACAGAGTCGCCCCCAGTCATTCTTTGAAAAGCAGAGCCAGTGTTAGTGGATAAAAGTCGATGATTCAGCGGAGAGAAAAAAAAAAAACCAGCAGTTATATCAGCTAATAATTATTTATTAGAGAGCAATCCCCCTAATGTCTGCAGGCTTAACACAAAACAATCAGTAAGGTGCACAAAACTTTTACTTCATGAAGGAGTTGCTCCTTCTATTTCTGAAGTTAAAACACAAACAGAAATGGGATTAAACTGTTAGTGACAAATGGGCTCACATTTCACCCTACAGAGCTTTCATAAAAGTGAAATGTTTTCATTCAAAGAATATATGGTGCACAAGCAGCCTGATTGCAAAATAAACCAAAATCTTCACCCCACCACTGTGCTTTACTGATGCTGTGTAGCTTTTTTCCTTTATGCTGTATTTTTGTTTTCCACCAACATGAGGCTGTACATTAGAGCCCAATATTTCCAGTTGTGTTTCCTGTAAGAAGAGACGTTGTTGCAGAATTATTTTCCAAGTCACTTCTAATTTTAATGTCTTGAGGCCTCATGTGCAAAAAGAGTGAGAAGCTTTTATACGGAAAGTTTGCAGAACGTATAAATTCTGAAATGTGTGCTGCACAAAAACAATTCGGATACAAAAGCGTGGGTACACATGTCACTGCACACTTTACCTTCATACATACAACTTAATTTGAATACCCAGAAGGGATCTATCACCAGTTTATAGATTTTGGAGCTTGGCCTGTTTTTCAGTGTAGTCCCGTTTTTCTGACTGCGACTAACTGGACGTCCTCTCTTCATCCTCTGACATGGGAGCTGGCTCGGAGCTTGTCTGCCTGGTTGTGTGTTTGGTGGATGTGGCCGCCTGATGAGTTGGTTGACGGTTCCCTTTTGTATCTCTGGTTCTTTCTGTATCTCTCCTTCTGTCTCTTTAAACCTAGTTGGCCTCGGCAGATGGCCGCGCACACTGAACCTGTTTCTGCTGGAGGTTTCTTTCTGCTAAAGGTGAGTTTTTCTCTCCACTATCGCTACAAGCATGCTTGGTGTGAGGGACAGCTGTTGAGTCCACTCAATGGAATAAGCCGGGCTTCCCTAGATAGAAAACTTTGAACCAATCTGACCGTATGATCTGGTTGAAATGTCTCCGTAAAGTGCTTTGAAATGACATGATGTAAAATGGCGCTTTTTAAATAAACTGAATTGAATTGAAATGGAATTGAAAATAACCAGTGCCGTCACAGAGAGAATAATTTGAGGGACATCAGCAACTCATATAAATAACATAGCTGAAAATAAAGGTCATAGTTTACGATAATATAAAAAAATAAAGAAAAAAGGGCTCTCTCATTTTGGTTTGTAATGAAGTCCAGGTGGTTCTGTCTATCTGCGGCATTAAACTTAGCTTTTGTTATGTATACCAGAACATTAAAATGCAAATATGCTCCCTATACTGTTGTTAGGAAAATCTAACCACAACTAGTATAAGAGGTATAATTAATGTTTTAAACAATACAGGACAACAGAAGCACAACCCAATATAAAAACAAAAAGAACAAAAGCCAGCCAACTAACAGAGCCTGTTTAAAGTCTGGCCTGTGACCTGTTTTTCCATTAAGTATGTGGTCAACTTTTAAATGGAAAATATTCTACTCAAAGAAGCATGTACAGTCATAGCTCTGATTCATTTTTGAAATTGGCTTCTCACTTTATATTCAATTATGTGTGTTATATTATACATAAATATATATTCCATATATATATATATATATGGAACATTTGGGCGTGTCGTCCCATTTTGTCCCAACACTCCGCTGTGTGCATTTAGAATTTGAACCAGCACCAGTGACAAATTACCCATCATCATCATCAAGTACCAGGAGGACAGTTAGATCTCTAAACACATCCTCATGGGAGCAAATTAGTCCTCATTCTTCAATTGGCGATGTCCTCCAGCAGAGCCAAAGCTGCTATCTATCCAGAGTACCACTACCACTTTATACTACCACTAATGAACATGTGTGATTATCTACAGCCTGTGAACTTGAAGAATGATCAAACTTGACTTATTTGGAATTAATCTGTTGACTGATGCACATTTACAGTTTAAAAAAAGATAGGAATATTTATCATTTACATTGGTTTTAAACTGTTTGTATAATCTCATATTAAGGTGTGTTAGGTTATTATTTGAGACTGAATTTGATTTAGTTTAATCATTAAGACTAAATCACAAAAGCTCAAACCCATCAAAAAATATTGTGTTAAATAAAACTGAGTGTTGTTATATTTCAGTGTGTTTGGATGAGTTTGGGTGCCACATCATTTGTCTCTATTGATGCTCCGTGTTTACTACAGCCAAACTGTTACTATAGTTTTAATATAATACATAACCATTGCTTTGAACTGCATTGCACAATTTTAATTTACAGTATTTACTTTCAATTCTAAACCTCAGTCTGTACTGATGCGGCACTATCCCCACCCTTTCAACTTTATATTGCATTCAAGCGTGCAGGTGGTGCAGTGGTCTGTGCGCACGGCCCATGTACGGTGGCCTTGGTCATAAAAAAGGAGCAACTAGTGCTGTAAAAATTCAAACAGAAAAACGAAAAAAAAAAGAAAACTTTATGTAGCATTTCAGCAAACATATTCAGCTGCACATTGAATCCTGCCCTGCTATGCTTGAGCATCCTTAAGCATGGTATGCTGATGTTTGATATTTGATTTAGTTTAGTACATTTAGTTTTTTTAGTAATTCAGTATTTTATCATCTACTGTCACAGTTTCATGAAGTATTTACAGCAGAAAAATTAATATAAGTATCTATCTGTTGAAAAGGTTTGCATTGCTGCTGCACATTTTCACAGCAGATCAAAAGCTTGTGTGAATTACCGCACATTTATGCACTTTAAAGCAACGTTAGTTTTTGTACAAGAGTACTTAGCCTTAAGTTTTTTGGCCCTTCACAGGATAAATAAAGACTAAGGTCTAAAACTGAGATCTTTCCCATAATTACTTGCTTACGTCACATAAATCTTATGGTCTGTGCACTAGTTATAAAATGACTTGCTGCCGTACCTCCCACCATGGCGTGTCAGGATCGCCCTTCAGAAGCTCAATGAAGTCTCCTGTTTGGAAACATAGAGGCATCTTCCCTGGAGGTGTTGGTGTCCCATGGTAGTTCCTCACAGCCACCATCTTTGGACCTAGACAAAAAAAATATATAGGAAGCAGAAGAAAGCAACAGTCCTGTTAAAGGCAAAGGGTGAGGAGGACTTTGTCTCGAAAGACTGTTAAAATTGGTCTTAATGTGTAAAAATAGGACATTACTCTATATAGGCCATGAAACATCTAGGTCAAATTAAATTTTAATTTGATGATTTTTGTATTTATATCACATTGATATCTAAGAACCAGTCTGTCACTATTACTTTGTGGTTGAGTGATTCCAGAAAAGTTAAAAAGCAATCCACTGGACTTTGTTTCCAAGTTTGAAAAAGTTTTGCTTCTAATCTAGGAAGCTTTTTCAATTCAATGTCAGAAATAGTGTTGAGTTTGTGGGTAAAAAGCAAAAAAAGTAAAAATAAAAAAGCTTCATTGGCCAGGATAGCAAGGAATTTGGCTTCCATTTCACACATTACCATCTAACAGATAAATATAAAGACCTATTATTACTAAAGGTTTTGTTTGGTTACAGAACAATCCTCATTAGGCTTAACATTATAACCAACACTTTTTTTGCTTCAGAAATCAGGTAAGATGTTTGCAGATAAGTCCTGAAGGATATGAGGCTAGACCCTTCTCATTGCAAATTACCAATTAAACACAATTCATGGTTGACTGTTTAGAATGAGATCTAAGAAATTAAGAGGCTTCAGGGAATACAGCTAGCTCCTCTCAGGTGGAGCTTACGTGTCCCTACACGGATGACTGAACACCCAAGGTATCACTCTTCTTCCCCAGGCTTGCCTTTTTCCCAGAATGCACCTGGGACCACATGTTTAGTCAAGTAAGCTACGCACACACACCCAACCAACCATAAGATGTAAAAGAAATCAAGATTCATCAGAAGAGAGCATGAGCACAATGACTGGTTTGTGTCTCTGCAGAGCAAAACATAACAATCTACAAATCATTGTGTATGCAGACACCTTTCTATCACAATGAGCAGTAAGAGGAGATATGATTACTTCCTGTTTCACCTTTAAAATATTTTCCTTTTCATTGTGTTTGTACCTGTAAGCTTTCTTTTGTCTCCTGGTTTTATTGCTTTCACATGTCTTTCCCAGCTTCTTTTTTTAAACTGATTTACTGAAAATAAATGGAGGTTTTTACTCCTGTTATATGGTTATCCTGAGGTACAAACCCTCCCTTCGCTTTCATTCAAATGTCTTAATATTTTAGGATCCAGAACTACCAGAGGAAAGTCTTTAACAATGACCCTCTATAGCTTAACCCTCCTCTACACAGCCTACTCCAAAAGCATCAAACCTAAGGCAGCCTGTGTTTCTAAAAGGATAGAAATGACTGACATAATTTGAACGTCATATCCCATGAAGCACTACAATGCAGCAACTTACACCCTTCTCTGCATTGCTGAAAAATGGCAAAGAAACTTTTTGGTTATAAGCTAAATCTGTGGCTAATAAGTAATATAAAAAAAGATATGTTTAAGGTGTTGGTATTTATCTTTTCTAGTTTTGAATATAACACTGCTGATTTAGTTTTATGAATAAACCGTATATTTGATTATGTCCATGTTTTGATCCCTTCTGTGATCAAGTTTATTACCCCTGATCTAAACCATGAAATGACCATAAGATAACATACTGACTTGAATTTTTTCTTTTTGTATATGGATTTGGATATTATATTATTAGCCCCTATAAAATAAAACTAATATGACATTCAGTTTGGGGGCCTCACAGGTCAATGGCTTGCACTGGCAAGAGTTCCGTTATACTATAAACTACCCAGAAGATGGCGACAGAGAGCTGAGATAGACCACATCACACTACCAGATACCAGCAGATCAGGCATTATCAGAGTTTAAGAGAAGCTCACCAGGGGACATCCCAGGCTCCTGCAAAACAGACACAAATGCATAATCAGATACTCATCACTGATTTTAAATGTATTTTTAATTCTAGCTGAAGTGATGTTTAATTCTAGCTGAAGTGATACTTGTTGTGTGTTCAGCCTACTCACCATGTCATGGGGATCTGAAAATAAAGAGAAGATATTGAAAATTAAAAATAAATACATCAACAATTGTTTTACAGTGATACCACTAAACATGGCATGAGCAAAGGTGGTATACAAGCAGCAAACTACAATTTAAAAATATGTAGCATCTCCTCTATTTGTTCAATATTTCTCCCCACAGCTCTGTTTGACTATCAAAGTTTTGCAGATAAAAAATAAATAAATAAAAAAACTGAGACGGGCTTTGGCTAATCAGTTCAGTGATTATATAAACTGAAGCTGGAGAAATCTTTGGGCCACATTTTGGGTTGTGAATTCCCCTAAAGGCAAAGATAACATTAATCTAACTGGAAACGGGATGAGAATGTGCAAAGCACATCGGATATAATAAATATACTCCCACAAAGGGATGAATATTTGCTATTTTTAGGACATATTAATAAATAATCCAGTAAGTAAACTTTCTGATTGATGTAATTTATCAGAATGATGGTGATTTCCTTCATTTTAAAGAGTTACTATGCAGAAAGCATGTAACACACTCCTTCTAAACCAAGTATGAAAACCCCCCATCGGGTAGGAAATGGCTTTCCCATGATTCATCCTGACTCCCAGTTGCTGTTTCCCTCTTTGGTACCAAACCCAACGACACAATAAATTAATCCCACCTTCCTGCTCTTTTTCTCCTGCTGTTTGGAGCAACATGGAACCAGGACAGAGCTCCTTGATGGTATGTTTTGCTTACACACAGCACCTTGTAAAATTTAAGCACTTCTGGTAAAGATGTGTAAAAAAAAATCCTTTTAAAAAATCCACCTTTATTCCACATGCATAATCTCACACTAATAAAAATGCATACAAATCCTATCTATAATTTGATTACAGACATTCCCTGAAGTTTATACCATAAATTAAGAATGATCTTGTTTCCATAACAGAGATAAAAACTTATGTCTATTTGTTAATTTAATATTTGAGGCATGTCAGGAGAAAGCTTCTTCTTTTTTGTAACCTCACACATCTAAGAGTGCAGGTTGCTGAACTCTATAGAGACCTTAAATGGAGCTATAACTGCTGCCATTTTTTTAAATAATTTTGATGGTACCATTTATTATATGTTTGTTTCCTAACTACATACAAGTATAAACCCCAATAGAGAGTGACATTGCAAATAAATCCAAGCTACAAATGTTTTCATTTTTTTTTATTTTGAAAGCAGAACAAAGTCATCTTAAACATCTTAAACGCATTTTTTTATTTAGGTGAAGGTTTAGTGATGCTGTTGGGCTGTTTTCTCTTTAAAAAAAAAAACTGGGACCTTCAATAATAAAACACGGTTTCATGAGTGTTATACCATTTCCACAGACATAAACTGGTAGAAACCACTAAACTTTATTTGGACTTTAAAGAGAACCATCTGTTCTGTTCTGATGGTACAAAGACTGAGCTTTTTAGCATTTAACAGTAACTGGGTCTGGAGTAAAACAGAGGATGGAGATGAAGAAAACCGCCTTGTACCAACTGTTAATCACAGCAGAGGATCTTTCATGCTGGGAGCCTGTTTTTGTTTATCTTTTTCTCCAAGGACCCTTGGAGCCCTGTTAGATTGCATTACGTCATCACCTCATTTTAAATCCCAATACAGTACTCGACCTGATAAATATGTGACAACATAAGAAAAATGGTTGACAGAACACAAATTATGTTAGTCGTTTAGAAAAACTGTGAGGGGCTGAGGAAAAACTGTACAAAGATGGATGCTCAAAGGAACCTCTGACTGTTATATGTAATTGGAGAAGATAACAGACCATCCAAAGATGATACTTTGCAATAAAAGATACCTTTGAATGTGTTCCTAGAGGTGCAAATTATTGGGTAGCATTGATGCTACTATTTCCACTCAGTTTTTGTCAGAATGCTGCCAGAAAGCAGCCCTCATCTTCATAAACTTGCAAGTGAAAAACAGATGCTCTAAGGAAGAAAACACCTACTGATTTTACAGATGGTGATCACTTCCAGGCACTCTTTGTGAGCTCCTGTTCCACAGCGAGAGCAGTAGTAGCCCTGATAGAAAGTGCCCCTGGAAGAAAAAAAAGAAACATAAACAGAAGAGAGAAACTTTCAGAACTTTGATGCAAACAGGAAGTATATCTTATCCCCAACCATTAAGGATCTAGCTGAAACAGGAAATGGTCACAACATGTCAATTTTCTCTAATTAGAAACGAGCTAAACTGATAAAACTCATTCTGCATATATTCAAATGGATGACCCCTTCCCTTCCATTTTCCTTACAGAGAAAATCAAACAGATCCAAAAGCTGTTCAGGGATGTATTAAAAAAAATCGTTTTCTTCTTAGGGCATGCATGCATGCATTTTTTTTTTTTTTGTCAAACTGTTTTAATTGTTTTGGAGGACCAAACCTTTAGTTTTAAACTAATGACAAGCTTACTTTTAGCTAATTTGATTACCGTATTTTCACGACCATAAGGCGCACCGTACTAAAAGGCGCAGTCTCAGTTATGTGTGCCATTACTCTATTTAACACACACATAAGGCGCACCGGAATATAGGGCGTGGGTTTAATTTACCGGTACATATCCTCTACTACATTTAAATACCTCTACTGCATATTTAAAAATAGAGCGGGAGCAAAACTGAGTATGTTTGTGCTTTATTCATGTATTTATTACAAAGTGTTAATCAAACCCATCAAAGTCATCATCCTCTGTTTCTGAATTAAACAGCTGTGCTAAATCAGACATGCCAATTTCCCCTTCTTCGCTGTCAGAGTCACTTTCCGTGCCGGGCGGCTCCTCAGAAATAATGCCGGCTTTTGCGAAAGCTCGAACAACAGTGCCAGCAGACACGTTAGCCCAAGCATCTACAATCCATCCGCAAACTGTGGTGTTAATTGCCCGCCGCTGCCTTCCACTTTTCGTGAAACTGTGGTCTCCGTCGTTCATCCATCGCTTCCACGCCGCTCGCAGCCTTACTTTAAACGGCCGGTTCACACCGATGTCGAGCGGTTGAAGTTCCTTTGTCAGACCCCCTGGGATAACGGCGAGCACAGCTTTCATTTGTTTCACCTTGTTTTTCACATCGGCTGTGAGATGGGCACGCATGGAGTCACAGATTAACAGCGATGGTGATGCGTGGAAAAAACCACCTGGTCTCCTTACATACACCCCCTTCAGCCACTCTTTCATCATCTCCTCATCCATCCAGCCCTTCTCATTTGCCTTAATAATGATTCCAACTGCAAAAGTCTCTTTAGGCAAAGTCTTTCACCATAAAATCACCATAGGCGGCATAAAGCACATACCTGTTCTTTTATACACAATCCACGCCCACACTTCCCCCTTTAACGTTCTCATGGTGGTCTCAACAACGTCCGCAGTAACAACACACATAGGGCGCACCGCACTATAGGGCGCGGCGCACATTTTGAGGGAAAAAAAGACGATTATATGCGCCGTATAGTCGCGAAAATACGGTACTAGGCATCAAGATCACCTAGTTTAGCGAGTCCATTAAGATTTATCATTGCTGACAGGAAGGAGCTGTCCTCCTTAATTTAAAACAGACTATATAACAGAATGTTCAATATTTATATTTTAGTTTTTGCTTAAATAAGAAGCATTGAATCAGATTAGGGCAGCGACAGGAGGTTTATGTCTATGCCTTTTTACAGCTCTCTATGTCCTGAGGGTAATGAAGACATAGGTCTAATTACGTAAAAATATACATCTATTTAAATAAAAATGTCAAATGTGCCATTTGAGTGACTTTATTGTTAGAATTATAGTTGGGTACTGTATATAATATAGCTGCATTTTCTACAGTTTTATTGGAAGCATTTGTCTTAGTGTTATATTTTGCACAAACCAGTACTGAAAATTGCAAAAAGATGTGCTCCATTCTTCCTACGTCACTGTTACCGTACTGTATTATATATCAGTTTAAATATCTAATACTTATATGGAAAAGTGTACTCATCTATGCAAATATAAAAAGGTTTTAAAATAACACTGGTATAATATATTTTAATAAAACATGATAAACCAGATAAAAATAAGAATCCTTTTATTATAAGGGATTGTAGCTGTATGATAATGGCCCCAGGGGTCAGTTGCAGCATCTGACTCTCATCATTCAGATGTAAATTGTGAAAATTTTACTTGATTAAATATAAATACGCTTTAAATGTTTTTTTACTTTTAACAGATAGATGTAAGTTTATACTATAAAAAAATCTCTAAGTAACAAAGTCAAATGCAAAAAGTGTTACAACTCTCCACAGTCTCTCTTCCTGCTTGTTCTTCCAGTTTGCAATTATTGCAGCTTTTATATATATATATATATATATATATATATATATATATATATATATATATAATTTCCTGCTGTGTCATTCTCTAAAATCATCAAGCACACTGGCTTGGTTTTGACCCTTGTGGTCCAGAGGTGTTTCTATAACGGCCTCTGTTAAGACTGCATGCATAGCAATGCTGCCACTTGGAATACCAACTCCCATAAATCATGACAGGATCCACTGGGGATGCAGCACTAATTAGCATCTAGATGGCTGGTTGCCGCCTCAACCGGCTCTGTGAATTTAGGTCAACGAAGGCCGTGAAAATGTGCGGGTCAACATACTAAGCGTTGCTGCTCGGCTTAGAGGTTCAGAGCGGGGATCTTTGGTGTGGTGGGTCATTCCCCCGCTGCTGTTGAGGAAGCCTGTCTTGGACTTACAGTGGGATGCCTAAAAATACCCGTTTCTGTAGTTGTAGTATTTTAAAATTTTCAGTGTGCTGTTCACCATATGACGATATGGTGAACAGGCCACTCTATTCACTACAGTATCAGCCAATTAAAATGGCCATTCTCAGTTAAACGCCAACCAAATAGCAGCCCACTTCCCTGCAACTCCCAGCAAAATTCCCTCCAACTTTCAGCCATTCCTTCTCGTAGGAGTGCATATTTTTTTACTCTAACTCCACCGTTTGGATTTGATCAGGAGATAATGCTTCTCTTCAGATCTTAATGTCCACAAACCATGACAGAAAGAATATTTTATTGCAAATATTGATGCATCATGGAAGGATGCTAACATGTGCCTGACCTGCTATCACCACTCTGGTCTCTATTCCACCAAAAGGGGCAACCCAACAATCTGGGACTCACCCACAGGTGGTTGCAAAGTGCTTCTGTAACTTTTTACATAACGTGTAAGAGACCAGGAAACAATGATAAACGACCCATAGCAAACTGCTAATGTTCTTTTGCACCCCGTCCAAAGAAAAAAGCGGCATGAAAAAGAGTCTTTGTGAGCTCTATATATTTTTTCTCTCTCCCATAAATGATTAAAAATTAACTTAAAGACAATTCTTACATGGCTTGTATATAAATATAATACAAGGTATATCCTCCAATTCCTGTTTTCTGATTTCGTTTTGTTGTACCCATTCCCAAATGGTTATCCAGTGATGTGCAAAGCATGTTAAATTACACTAACAAATCTTACTGTATTTAATCAGAATGGAGCAACACAAAGTGATGATGATTATAAAACTGTAAAACAACTATAAACAGAGTCTAAAAACTGTTGAGTGTACTTGGATTTAGCCTGTTTAGTAAATATCCTGAAGAAATAGCTTTCCATGGAATTTCATCTGCAGATTTCAGGGGTGAGATTGGATTTAATTTTTTTCTGAATGGAGAGCTTCTGTAAACATCAACTCTCAGGTCTTGATCTCTAAATTGTATTTAGGTAAAGATGCTGGTGAAGATTCTCAGTCATCCAGGTCATAGTCATTCCAAAACAGTTTCAAAAACAATCCACTGGACTCCTGTCCACATACGCATGGCCCAACAGAGAAGAGCTACCTCCTCTGGACAAGACCCTGCAGTACATCTACACCTCATGAAGAAAGGACATTCTTTTAAGGACCAGAATGTTCAAATCTAAGTTAAGAAAGAAAAAACAACCTTAAACAGAGGGTGTGCACTCAGGTTTAATCTTTAAAATCCCAAAAATACAATGGCTGAGTTGATTCCTTCTCACTATCATCGCAACCCCCACCCCCATACAGGGAAACAAAATACCTCACTTGTTCAGACAAGTCAACAATTCCCTCTAACAACCCCCATTTCAGAGACATATACAGGTATCAGGTATTGCAGGTTAACAAAGAACCCAAATGAATGCCCATTCCTAAAGAGCGGATCCGTTCGTCTGGTACAATTTGTATGTTTTCTAGGCTTTGTTTTTGGTCCACTCTATAAAGTCTCGAACTCCACGCTATTTCAGCTATTTTGAATTGAAAAGGCTTCCTGAATGGCATGTCTTCAAACTTGGAAACAATGTCCACTTTTTTGGAATTTAGGTAGCATTTGAATAGGCAATTGTAATAAGTGATAAGACCCATGCCTCGGGCTTACATCTTTAATGGCCTCAAAAACGCCTTCATTAAAGAATGTCCTGCATTTACAGAAAGAAACTGATGCTCTTGGTTTAGGATTATTTAAGTTACTTGCTTCTACTCTCTCATTTAGATAAGTAATCGTGTTGGTTTTGTGCATTGGGTCAGTGGATATATGCATTAATATCCAAATAAACTGAGTTGAACTATTAAACTCTATCCATCATCATGTGAATAGTGGGTGATGAGATATGCATTGGTAGTTTTCTCCCGGCAGAACGTTTGTATTCAAACTGCAAATTGGACTGTATAGCTCTCTTTTATGGGAACACTTTTCAGTCATATATACTGTATTTTGAGCTTGTAAATCAGAATATGTGGCTGTGAAGGCTTGTTATGACCCAGTGAACCAAGCCGGAGAATTTCATCTTGGTGCATCCATAGATAACAGTTAATACTTTTGTATGAGTGCCTTGAGATTGAACATTTGTTTGGAATTAGCACTATATAGATAAATTGAATTGAATAGAAATTACAAAAATGGCATTTTTTAAGTTCAGTTCCTGAATACAAAGCAAAAATCTATGTGTAAAGTGCCGCATTCAAGTTGTCTAACTTCTTTGTGAGTTTCACATACAAATTTTTACAGCCTTTCAGCTGATTGCGATTGACATCACAGAGAGAAAGGTTCATAATTCATATGAAAGAACATATAAACCTTGGTGCTTAGGTCTTTGGGACCCGTTTACATTTTTACCATAGGAAAATTATACAATTAAACTATTCAAACTCAGACTCATCGGCCTTGGCTCATTTTCTGTAAAGAACATATATCAGAAAACAATTCTAAGCTTAGCTGCCGGAGGTTTTACTCTACCAGGCTGCAAGTCCTTGAGTACCGGTGCATTTTAAAGATGGAGAACAGTCTTAAAACTTCTGAGGCTCAGGTACGGTTAACTTATCATTTAGTGGAACGACCCAAGTATTTAAAAAGTGCATCATCCTGATGCCAACCAAATCCAGTAAGGAGCTCTAAAGCTAAGAACAATGCATTTTTTTGTGGGAAAAAAAAAGGAAAATCTGTCTATAATTATCCTTTAAATTTAGAATTCTGGCATTAACTCTAAAATCAGAGTAAAACACCAAAATCATGATGCAGCTTTGAGATACAGAAATCTTTGAGACGTGTCATTCATGGTCGGCTTTTAAGTTTAGCCTATTTCCTAGGGCGCTACCTTAGGAGCTTCTTGCAGGCTCGGCAGTTGGTGTTCTTGTCAAACGTGTGCATTTGGAAGTTGTGCTGGTTGGCTGTAGCTCTCTCTGGCTTGATGTTGGACCTGAAAAAGTAAAAGGTTCCTCATAATATAAACCGATCAGGCAAGGCAGACTTTTAATTTTTAAAAATCAATATTTTCAGGGACTTTCTTTAAACTTTAGTTGTTTTTTGTTCCTGGTCGTTGTTTAGAGCAAATATGAGATATATATATCCCATAGCAGCATGTAACATTGATGTCCTCTGTGTAGTCTTACTTACATGGCCATGTCAAACTGCTCCATCCACTTCCTCTTTGTGTCTTCCGTTTTACAAAAGAACTGGAAGCCCTGCTTCCCTTGCAGGTGGATCAGGTAGAAACCATAAGACCACTAGAAGGAAAAGGGGAGCATAGGGGGGATGGCAGAGGGACATGTGGATGGCAGTGGCAAAAAGATGTGGACAAAAAAGCTTGTGATGAAAGTGCATTTATGTAAAATGAAGATGACACTCGGTATGGAACTGGAAAAAAAAAGCCCTGCATGCTTTATGCAATGTATCTGAGCAAAAAAGCTAGAGAGCAAATCACAGAGCAGCAATCACAGCATGACACCCAAAGAACAACACTACTAAAAATAAGCCTCCATTAAGAGATGAGTTAAATAAAAAGGGGTCGCTTAGGCTTACCATTTTTCCACTTGACTGGTAAGCATGCAAAAAAAGAAAGACACCAGAGAAAGACCCAGTTACACATGCAAACATGGACAGAGGCATGCAGATTAAAAACAAACCAAAAAAAAAAGAAAAGCAATGTTAGACCGGTGGCATAATGCACTAAACTATGTTTCCATGAATCCTAAATGACCTTCATTGCATTTACATGATTGTTCAAGCATGGACGAGCACATTGCACGATTGGCACTTCAATGCATTACTCATACATATCTGAAATTATCATCAACAAGCTCCTTCGGCTCAAGGACACCATTTGTAATGATTATGCAGACGGTTTGATCGTGTGCACTAGCAGAGCTATCGCCGCAGAGATTAAACTGTGGAACAAACAGTTCGATTCGGTTTGATTTCAGAGGCAAAAAACAAAAAACTAATTACTTTTCTTACCTTTTTCATGTCTCTGTTGTTCGTGGGGTCGTCTGAGACTTTGTACGACTGGAGTTCAATAATCTCTTTTAGCTCATAACTGTAGCCTTTCCTCTTGCAAACAATGACCACTTTGTCAAAAAGGAAAATATACCTGCAAATATAGAAAACGTTTCAACTCAGTAATCATAGTAATTAATGGATTTAAAGGTAGCATTATTTCAATAAATGATATAGTATCAACTATTTACATCGTATTTAGCTTATTTTATTATATTTTATATCTATTACATTGTTATTACTTAACTATTACCCATTTGCTATCATTTTAATAGTTGATTGTAATATGAAGGCCATCCCCTGTAGGGCCAAATCAAAACTCACCGATCTTGTTTAGTTCTGTTGAGGATGGAGCTCACTTTCAACTCTCCATCTATCTTTGGCCTGCCGTACTCCTCCAGTTTCACCTGCTGCTTAGATCATACAAACATGCTATATCACTCAGACATTGAGCATTAAACCACAGCTGCTTGATTACGGACTTGTGGCTGTTGTTTCATTGATCGACAATTACTGCAATGGTTCTGCCAGGGACAGTAACACATTTTTATTTTGTTTTTCACTGTATTTATACTTCAAGCAGCTACAAAGAGCTCAATAACACAGATAAAAGCAAAATGATTAGCACAAAGAAGCCAGAGTAGAGAACAAAACACTTACAAGATTCTCTATTGAACTTTGGAATTCACTTATTTTTTTCAACGTCTCATTGTCTCTCTTGACTTCATTGATATACATAGCCAGGTCCTAAAGGAGTGAGAGCAGAGACAGAACAGCTGAATTAAAGAAAATATATACGTAGAGAGAAAAAAGATTATATATCATGTTGGTGAAGCTGCTGCAAATGAAAACAAGAACCAAAAACCAAGCATTTAGAAAAAACAACCTCCATGGCTTCCAGAGCTTCTCTAAGTTGTTGCTTCTCTGGCCGGTCAGTCGAGTGACTCAAAAGTTCCTACAAAGAACAAGATCAATAATAATTATTACAGAAAGGTTTAAAATAAGTTTGTTAAAAATATACTTATTCCATGTTGTGATTACATATGTAACATGTACAATATAAAATTCAGAGTCAATTTATATCTATATGTGATATCTATATAGCTTTCAGGACTGATATTTATCGATATTTCATATTATAATGTCCTGTGAAAAGTTGACTCCGCCCTTGATAGTTCCTCTTTGCCTCAGTGAAATACCCACCGCATCCCCTATAACGAATTTCAACTTAAGTTAATATCTCCTCAGTTTTGCTTAGGAAGCTGATTAAAAATGACCAACATTGACTGACACAGATGTTACACGGATTATTCAAACAGTGTTTATAAATAAAGGCTGCCAATCATTACCAACAATGATGCGTCTTGCAGATATGAATGAGCAGTTATTAAGTATAATGCATCACACTTTAGGATATTTCAGAGAATATATATATAGCTCAAGAGAAAAAAAGGAGATCTCTGTGCTCCATTGCCATAACTTGTTCTTATCTCCACCCTGTTGCCTTTCAATCATTTTGGATCTTTCCAGTGGGATTGATTGATTGATTGATTGATTGATTGATTGATTGATTGATTGATTGATTGATTGATTGATTGATTGATTGATTGATTGATTGATTGA